AACAACAGCAACAACAACAACGACGACGACGACGACGACGACGACGACGACGACGACGACAATAACAACAAGAACGATAACGAGGACCGGGAATACGGGACGACGGCAAAAAAACGTGACAGCTACAACTAACACTGCCTCTAGCACCACGAACCACCGCTACCGCCAGGTCCTACTGTCATCCCCAGAGCGCCTACCAGGACATCTTCTTCGTACTTGGACTTGACGAGCGCCCGCTCGTGGCCCTTCAGAACACGACCATCCCGCGAGTACCTGCAAGCGACCAAGCAAGTCCCGAGAAATCATTGCGGAAGAATCTCATCGTAAATTGAAGTTGCTGCTATTTAGAAATGAGCTTTCCCCGGTTGTGTGAGCAACCGCTTAATACCGGTGCGGAAGCCGTCTCTCAGAGCCATTCGGCTTTTGAATCATACCGCCTTGCATGCCACTCCCGTCCAAAATCCTGAAGCCCAAACCGTAACTGGTTGTCTTGCTGGAATGCAGCTGTGGGCCAAAGAGGTTGGAGGGAGCTGAGCTAGGATCTAGGTTCCAGCACTCTGCCAGCGAGCGCTGCTATTCTCACAAGACTACACTGCCCAGAAAGACAGCAACGACCAGAACAGCAATCAGGGTTGAAATCGCCATACAATGTTCCAAGCTTCAGTCAGGGTGCTTTTCTTCAACTTCAAAGAAGCTCCCTCCAATCTCTCCATGTCAAAAAACATCCCTGCTGAACTGATTAAACCCCTGCGATACAAAAGATTTCATAAACAGACGGACAGACAGGATTCTTAGCAGGACTGCCACACGTGCTTCTTGCTTGGCCCAACGAACAAATAACGAACATTTGGTCGCAAAACGCACAGCCCTACTGCAAAGCTGCAGCGTTGAGCCACTTCACCTGTGGCTGATTGATAGATGCCCTGTACCTGCAGTTCCTGGATTCACAAAACTAACTCCCATAGCTGCCACGTCGACTCGAAGAACTAAAAATCCTATAACCCTGTTAGGGGTTGAGTAGCGTAGCTACCCTATAGTCCATGCAGGGATTATGTCAGCGCACTCGACATAGTTCTCATTCTGGGAGAAGATCAACTCCCTGGGCGCTTCCATGTGCTCCTGGCCACCGTACCTGCAAACGGAACCAGAGCAGGGACTGGTTCAGGAGCCCAGGTCTACTGAGGCTGAAGGTCCCTATAATAGTCCTTACTGTAGGGTTTAGGGTTGGGGGCTTAGGGATGCTGACATGTTGGGGTCTACACTGGGCCCTCCTACTCTTTTTGGAAACACCCAGATGGGTAGGACCGAGCAATAAAAACTCACGAACGCAAAGGCTTCCTCAGATCCACATCAGGACTTTTTCAAAATAACCTTTGAGGGGTCGTTGTGGCTATACATGGATTATCTTGGTGCAGACAGCCAGACACGTCCCAAAGCCAGCGGGCACTTGTCCATAAGCTCCTTTTGCTGCTGCTCCTTGAGATTTGTCGCCCGATTCTTGTACACCTGCTCCAGGATGGGTTGGGATCACCAGGTCTACTGAAATGACTATTCACAAACTTCTTCGCTAACGGCCGAAAGGGCTTTCCTTGCCTTCTTCCGGCAGGCTCCTACCGTTGTCTGAGTCCTAACAACCGTTGCGAGGGAGTTATCACTGGCATCGTCTCACCCTGCACCCAGCAATGCAGGGCCTGAAGGGGGGGGCTCCTCACATGCGATCAAACAACTAAAGATGCAACTTCGTTTGAGGCGACAGGATTGCTTTTGTCCTCTCACAGGACAGCCTGGCCATCAATAGGTTGCAGTTCTAGCGACTACCCACTCATGTGTTAATTGGGGTCTGAGTTGGCAAGCCTTCCAGAAAGTAGAAACACTCTCGTCTCAACCTGCCAACCTTTATGTAGCACTTGGAGGGAGATCTTTCAGCTTCAGAGACACCAAGAGATCCGTTCATTGCACAAGGCGTGTGTCTCGAAAATGTTGAGTAAGCTACAGAGGCTGACTGGTACTCCCCATCGGCATCACCTGTAACCGCTAGTAGCCTTCCGTGGAACAATCCCACGCGTATCCGCCTTGGAAGAACCAAAAGCTCTCAAGCAAGCTTAGTGCCACAGAGTCCCCCAGTACCCCCAGTAAAATGAAAGCCTACATAGCTTCTCTGGTTAGCATACCCTAGGCGACATGCATGGTTCAAGACTCGTTGCTAGCCTGTTGTCAGAGGAAGCACGATACACATGGTGTTCAATTGGCAAAGTGCACCTGACCCTGAGACCTATGCCAGCCTCAAACATCTTCAGAGCTTGAGTCGGTTGAGCTGTATCATGAATCTTCTCACCTGACATGACACGTCAGCACTTCCTTCCCATTTATACCTGCTAGAAAACTTCTCTGTGGAAAAATGCTGCCAGAGATGCCTCAGGCTATGCCATGGGATGCATCGCACAATCCCTGGACACAGGCGAAGTCCACACATGCCCAAGGAAACAGTCTCAACCAGAGCTCTTGAATTTGTCCTGAACACCCGAAGAAACATTTGGCGGTTTGCAGAAATTGCGCGTCCCTGAGTCGGCCCTATTAAAATGATGGTAGGATGCTGGTGTATAAATATAGAACGGAAACCTTTCCTGAAACAGGATATGGACAAACCTAGCAAAACACTGCTCTTGTGCATTCATGTGTTGAATGCGGCATGCCTGGAGATGAGTTTTTCCCGTAGCCCTCGACATCAAGCGCAGGATCCTTGTGAAGTGAGAGACTTCCTGTAGGACTTGAGAGGATTTGTGGCCTCCAGTTTACAGATCTTGGGGCGAAAGTGACCTTGTACGCACTTTTGATTCTGAGAATAGCAAAGATAACCACAATCATCCAAGGTAAGTTTTTTTTTCCGCCACAAACAGCAGATCATGCAAGCCACCCAGAAGTGCCCTCAACCCTCGCAGCACATCCTCCATCCTTTAACTAACCCAACACATGTCCCAGTCATATGCTATGCCCAAAAGCTTCCGGAGGCCCCCCCCCCCCCTCATTAAACACAACAATCTAGGAAGCCTAAGCAGGCCAGGGCGACCGTGCTTGTAGGAGTCCCAGGCAAAGCACATAAGCTCTGTGAGCTGCTTGGAGTCGCCAGAAATCCTGCAGCAAAACCACAGGAACCGAATAGTTCGCTCAACAACGAAACGATCTTGCTTCTGCTTCTCTTCTTTGGGTTTTATACACTTGATACACCTGCCCGTGGTCGAGGAAATTAGATTGGAAATGTGCAAGAAGTTCAGGTCCTTGCCCTGCGCTACGTGTTAGCTCTGCCTTTCATTTCAATGGCTGGAAATGTCAAAACAACTCATAGGATCCAAGTTTGGAAAGTGCACCGACTGCCAAGGGACCAACAAATCTGACTCAAGACTCAAAAAAGAACACAAAGCTATGATTGTCCGGCTCTGACGGAGTGTGCTGCTGCAAGCAAGTACTGCAACCCAAAGTCTTGGATCCCAAACCAAACGCCTGGAGGCTCATGCCTGTAGACCCCAGGCTATGTCCTACAGAGCTTATTTCTGCCATATCAACATAGACAAATCTTAGGCTTCTTCCCTCAAAACATGTGGGCACTTCCAGAAACTAGCTTCCTCCCATAAAAAAACTCCCCAAAGTCTTGGAGAAGCCCGTCTGAAGGACCCAAGGGAACCCTGAAATTTGAGAGATCCCCATCCCGGTTCCGCCTTAGGAAATTGTCCCCACGGAAGGCCGTTCCCTTCTCCTCATCCTGCAAAAAGCCAGGAGCGGTCTTAGGCTTTGAATTCGGGGAGCTAAGCCTGGAGGTTGCAGTGTAGGGCTTTGGGACTATGGATGAAGGCCGGGTGGGTGTGGCACTTTTTTCGCAGTGTGACTTAAGGATTTTGGCTTCAAGCTACAGGCTTCGGTCGAAGAGAATGCCTGGAAAGCGTATAAGCTCAGTACGCTGTCTTACACGGAACGATTGCAATCTCATTTCCTGTCTTTGAATACATGCATCTGGCCCCTGACACGCCACTGTCAAACTTTCCAGCCTAAGACATCAAGACGACAGTACAGAAGCTGAATATCATAGTGTTTAGGGATGCTTCCCCGATAATAGGGAGGATCAAGTAGTAATTTGAATTGAATGCAGCTCGAGCGTGCTCTGACCTAGGATCAAATAGTAAGGAACATGGAAAATGAAATGGAAATTCTAAGTCCCTTTAAAGGGTCTGAGGAGGATATATATGGGGTATTGGGGGATGTTTCCTCAATAAAGTAGAAGCAAACAGACAATTAAATGGGAAAAACATAGAAACTGTGCAAATACAAGGGCTGCGTAGAGATAATTACCAATAAAATGGTCCTAGGTCCTAGCTTCCCTATATAGTTCTTGTATAAGACGCCTCGAAAAAAACCCTGAAAAAGAGAGAAGCAGTGATCTTGGTTCTACAGTACTCGACATGCTGCGGGTGCGCCTCAAGTGAGCCGAGCTTTCTTATGACATATTCAGGGCTAAGCTTAGCCTTCGTACTCTCCCAGGTCCCTGAGACTCCTTCTAACAATGTACAGCAAGCCTCGAGCCATCCAAAGCATTTGTACAATAGCTTCTTATGTCTGAACTGTTTAAGGCTTAAGGGCTTGTGCCTCGATAGTCACAAATTCATTAGCAGGCAAGTACCGCCACATAAAGATGAGAACTTGAGAACTCTTGAAGGACCTGAGGTCCTGCAGAGTGCGTGAAAAGTATTCTGATAAAGCAGCGAGCAAGCGAAGATAAATGCAGCGCGAACTCGTGCTGGATGACAACCCGAAACTTGAACACGTTGGAAGGTGGCGGGCTGGAAGTCTCGGGTTCAGTGGGTCCATCCCTACTTTGAAACACAGCCTCATGCACCCTGACTCAACCACGACACCCTGAACCCTCGACGTCCTTCAGGTGAGCAAGGGGATCCTGGCGCATCGACCTTCAAGCTACATTGGTCTTTAAGCTGGGCGCAGCATATCTTGTCAAACTAAACTGACCATGATGCGATAACCACACCATCGCCAGATTTTGTCATGACGATGTTGGTGTGATCATACAATGGGCTTGAATGAAGGTTGCGGGCCCAGGTTTGTGCCTTAAGTAGATAGCTTCCAGTCGACGGGGCGCATGAGCAATGTTAACACCTTTTCCATAAGCTCTGCATCTGGCCTGAAATCCTCAAGCCCCTTCGCGGAAACCAAGCCTCAACCCTAAACTACCAACACCTTGAAACGCTAAGCCACAAACTGGAAACCCTTTGCCTTCCGAGCCCTGCCGGGCCCTGCCTGGACTTTGGATCGTAGTAGGCCGAGTTCACATCCAAATTCAAGAGGTACTTTGCGGTATCCTCTCGGATTCGTAGATTCCTGCAAGCATAGAGACTCTTGGTAAGAAATTGGTCTGAAAGTCTGCTTACCAGGGTCGCTGGCGTGGCTGTGGGGCAACTCAAAACAATGACTCCTCCCCAGATGATGCTGGATGATGATTGTCAGGCGGTGACGTGGGTTATCGAAACGAAAGGGCTGTAAAATCAGATCAATTAGAAGGAGATTCAAGGTCATTGGCCAAGAATGATACGGGGAACCCGTGGCCCATCTTGGTAGGCTAGCTTGGAACTGGGTGGGGGTCAGGGGCTGCGCAGGGTCTGAGCCAGAACCGTGATTGAGCACCAAAGCTTAAAGGGAGCCAGGTCATGAATATGAAGACACCAATGCCAAAAAGTATACATCTTGGGGCAACAATACGGATGTCAGGAAGTTTCTGCATTTTTGAAAAAGGAGACCCCAACATGCCCCCAAAGAACTTTTACTCCCTGTTGTAGGGACCCCCAAGACGAGACCCCCAAGATTAAAAGACGTGTATGTCCACACTTTTTCTTAGTTGGGAATCTCAAGCTGAGGATCAGAATCTCCCGAGCAAAACAAAGATACCCCTACTTGTAATGCCGAGTGAAGTCTGGAAGATTCCATCTTGACAAATGATGCGCTGCATTTATCCCATATGGATCCTGACATTGAAAGCTACTGCTGAAAAAGCTGTTGCTGCCCGATTGGGTAGGTACATCTAAGGTTGCAGTGATTTGAGTAGCCACATGATCATGACCCATGCTGAACCTTTCCTGGTCGTGGTGCGGAGCTTGTCATCCTTGGCAGCCACCTGAAGCATTCATGCTGGAAAAATGTACAAGACAACTCTGACAATAATCATAGCACCAAGGATGGAAACAGATGATAGTCATGATCATGGCTTCCAAAGAGAAAGAACAACAAGAACGATACGTTACACAAACCTTGCATGCGCATAATTCCGGATAGTACGGCTTCAGAATCTTCTGCCCCGTGGCTCGGGGCCTCAAAACATGGACAAGCAGTTACTAGGTCAAATGTCTTTGCAAAATATCTGGACAAACTTAACCTGGCTGTTCATGACTGCGCAACTCATTGTGACAATCATTGCCGCAGCAAAGGCAGACCAATCCTGCACACGGCGGCGCTCATAGTGGGGTTGCCCATAGCAAGAAGCCCAAAGAACAGTAAGAGTGTCATGGTTGGAAGCACGAAACATACCAACCTCCATACTAATTCTCCCCACAAAACCCAACCTTAAACGTGGAATGCAGATTCACAATATCCAGTGCTTCACACCTGGTCTTGCAAAACTCTTAGGTGACAGTTGGAGTGCTATCTTGAACCGGAGTCTAGCGTCCCAGAGTCCCGACGCTCGAACGCAAACCTAACCACAATTGTGGCCTGGAGCCCCGTTCTGCGAAAACAAGCCTTCAAACTTCTTTCCCCTGCCCCTGACCCCCCTCTCAGGCCCTGCATCCTAAGCCTTTGGCTACGTAACCCTGAAGCCCTGAAACCTAGCCTACTCAAGGGTTCATGGGTAAGTAAAGGTTCCCAGGCGCCCAAACTGGGATTTAATCACAGCTATCCTTATCAAGACTCATAGCCGCCTACGAACTTCCAGGGATTTTGAGACCGAGTCACGGTGGACGTCGACTTATCAAAGTCCTTCAGCTTCTCACCGAGATCCTGTTGGCTTACTGGTTGTTGGTAGGGGAATATGGGTCCCTGTAGAATAGATTCCCTTATTCCCTGCTAACTCCATACCCTAAACCCCAAATGGTCTTTTCCATGTTCTTTACCATTGTGTCCTTATATAATCCCTATGTTTTCTCCCTGTATTACCCACTAACAACCAGTAAGTTAGGCACTGTGCCTTGCTGGTGACCTTGTTCCTCAAGGAGGGTACCGACATTAACGTAGGGGACCTTATGGGTTATATAAGGCTGTATGGGGATTGTGGTCCAAAGGAACAATGCCCCGGGTTATTCCAATGTAGCAACGGATAATGCTCAGCAATTTCTGTACCAAGGTTTGGTCTATGTGGTCAATGAACAAACAAAAGCTCGAAGAAAAGGTTCTGAGCATGAGCCGCTTTCAACATGTTTCAGGCAATCGCTGCACGATACTGTGTCCGCAGAAGGAGATTGTGCTCCTTCTCAGCAGCACCTCTATCCGCACCAAAAGTCATTAAATCCGAGTTGGAGGGCATCTGATGTCGAAAAATGCCGGCACGGCTATCCCAGAAGAGAACTAATTCTTTGGGCTTGCAAAGTTCCACGTCCCAAAGTAGACTCCAAAAACTCTTCCTGAATGGTTCCCTCGCGTGAGGGTCAGCGGATCTGCGGCCTCATCATCGGATGCCTCGCTGTCACTGTCTGTGTCGGTGTCCGTATCTGAGTCACCTGTGTCCTCAGCGCAGCGCTTTTACTCATCACATGGAGCTTGAAGGCTGAAGTTCCTCTTTCATTGTGGGGGTGGGAGCGTTGCTACCCAGAGACATTACTTCTTTGGTTGCAGCTTCTCCGGAGCTTGAACCGAAGTTCTATACTGAAGCTGCAAGAAATTGTGCTTGCTAGGGGCCTCCTACTATCAATGAAGTCAATCCAAACGAGAGCGTAACATGCTACTACCTGCAGTCCCAACAGGACCAGGCATCCGGACAATACGTGCAAACTGAAAATTGCACAAACCCAAGAGGAAGCCCGCGCCCCTTGAGGAACTTCGGACTTTCTGGACCAATGAATGAAGGACAAGGCGAGCACGGGACAGTTGCCTTAAGGGACAGGCGTTGATACCAAGCCCTGATACCGGAGTAAAGTAAGGAGAAAACAGCAGGTACTGGCGCACAAGTTTTTGCAGGTGGGGCCCCTGCTTGCTTCACGCTGCTTATGAAGTTCAAAAAATGCCCTTGCAAGGATCCGTTAATGCATGTCAACTTTTTTGATGTCTGGTCAGGAAGTCATGGTTGAGGAGACGTCAGGGCACTTGGATTTCAAATTCTACCCCTACTAGGCTTGCAGGTGAAGGATTGGAATCCAAGACGCAACCTGCGATGACAGAAGGTCAGTAAAGCCCTAAACGGTCACCTGAAGCTTCCTCGCAGCCGCGCAAAGTCTGACTGCATCCGGCAAAAAAAATTTACCCTGCCCCAGACTAACATAAAACCCTTTTCAAGGGATGGTAGCTTTCATAAGTATCTTTTTGGGGCTCCATGTTAGTTTGGCGAGATCAAGATTCAGTGAAAATGCAATTCTGAACCCGAAAGCTAGCTGCTGGTTAGCAAGGAATCCAAGTGGTACCATTACATGTTGTGGGGCATGTCTTGCTGGGTGGGTGGTTAACAACGGCTGGCTGCAGAATCTCCAGTGTCTGTATCTTCATCGTCACGCCCTTCTGCCTAGCATGGCGTCCAAGGTGATAAAGGCGCTGAAGAATTAATTGAAGATTTTCTCAAGTTCCTGGCTCCATCTTCATGCTGGCTCTGAATGATGTCTAGTTCTTTTTCTAGGGTCAAGCCGGTGTAAGACGTAGCTCATCAGCAGTAGGGTCTTACAGCTTTCTTTGTCTTCTTACTCTGGCAACAGCAGGACATCAACTTACCTCTTTTCCAAATTCTTTGTTTGTGGGCTTTTGTAGTCTACCGAGGGTTTGCTGTGGTAGGGTCAGAGCCTTTTGGATCAAGACTTCCAAAGCTGATGGGTTCAAGGCTTTCGAGCTTACTGTTTGGGGGCCTGAGGTTGGAAACCCTGCTATCGAAGTTGATTCTGCGGCTTTGATCCTCGGCTGGCGTGGCCTTGTTTGCCATCAACTCTGACAGCTGTCTTTTGAGATGAATGGAAGCCTTTGGGATAAGCTTGAGAAGCCATGGCGGTTGCCAATACAGACGATGCGCGCCAGCACCCTTGATCGCTGTACCTAAACTCCCTATCAACCCTCCCGCTGCAAAACTTGTCAAGGAATTCTCCGAAGTTGAGGGATTTAAGTATCTAGGACATGGGGGTGATGTCAGGGAAGGGCCCCCAGATGCGGAAGGCCCTCTACGAAGGGCTCTTGCTAAGGACATTGGAGATAAAACTCACAAGGAGTTTTGTTGCTATTTAGCTCCGCTAGCCAAGCCCGACCTGGCGGCGCAACTGCCTTCTTCGCTGCTTGCGCTTCTTTTTCAACAACTTCTTCTGGGCCTTCAGACGCCTGGGCTGGTAGCTCATGGAAAAATGCATGACCAAAAGATACAGCTTGAGAGTTTGTCAAAACGGGGCAGGTACAAGGCAGGCATGTGGACTTCTGTCAAAGCACACGACGCCATACAGCCGGAAGCTTCAAGCGAATGATGCCAGGTGCCCACCTCATATCACCCCAATATGCCTCAATATAACCCCTATATAACCTTACATATTTTAGTAGTTTCCATGTTCTTTTCCATTGTCCCAAAATAACCCGCAAAATAATCCACTAAACCCCCTAGGCCCAGTGGCTCTTTCAGCTTTGCCCGCTCCTCCATCTCAGCAGCTTTCACTCGCCGCCGCTCGGCTTCCACCCGCTCCCACTCCTTTTACAGTCTTGGAGGGTTTCCAAATTTAGGGCACCAACCATTTTGGGGGTCCCCATAATCAGGATTATAATATTCTGGGGTCTACGCTGGGGTCCCGCCATTTATGGAACCTACCGTTTAGAGTGTAGGGTCAAAGTTTCAAGGAGTTTCATTCATGCGAGGAGAATTGAAGAGTTTAAGGTTCAAAGGTCTTGGCTTCAGGGAACTTCTGATGGCCGCCATGCTTCAGACGATCAGCATGTATAATAATTGGTATGCTGCGATTCCACGGATGTTCCATAGTTTCGTCACACTGTTTAAGCCGTAGTTCACGTGAGCGAATAATCAGCATCGTGATCCCTTCAGCGTGATCGATACTTCAAGGAATTACTGTATCAAGATGAAACACGATTGATCATATTACAAACACCAGCTGCTTTCCCAGTTTCTACTGCCCGCGAACATCAGGTATCTTACAAGTATACTTCTACCTAGAAGCTTCATTTATAAAGAGGAGAGAGAGAGGCGCCCTTTGTCAACTTGACTGGCCTTCCTGAAGAAGAAACAGCTGCACCTATAACCGAGTCTGGATGGCAACAATACCGACAACAATACTGCTGCTAATGCTGCTGTTACTAGTAGAAGCTTACTGGTAGTAGCGCGGCGACGACCACGTCTACCACAGCGAGCACAGCTACCATGGCTGCTTGTACTACTACTGCCAAACCCACAACCGTGGCGACGACTATTAGTATCATTGCTGTATCTGTGCGCCTCATGAACAGGATTACTTGAAATGCAGTTTCCACATCCAGGATCAGCAAGAAATCTTCAGGTTTGATTCCAGCTCGGTAAAGGATGAGTCAAGGTTAAGATACCCTTCTCTTACACCCTCCTACTAGTACTAGCCGTTGCTGCAGTAGCAACAAATGTAGTGTAGCGCCAGCAACACCAGCAGCAGCAGCAGCAGCTACCGCAGCAAAGTAGCTGTAGCACTAGCAATAGTAGCAACAGACTTGCACTTAATACTAGTGCTATTACTAGTACTGAGTACTGGTAGTGGCGGGAGTGGTCGCGGCAGTGGTCGCGGCAGTGGTCGCGGCAGTGGTCGTGGCAGTGGTCGCGGCAGTGGTCGCG